ACACGCAGAGAAAAAGGGAGGCTCTCGCTCTTATATTCGGCCTAAAGAAATTCCACAAGTTTCTGTTTGGTCGACAGTTCGTTTTGTACACGGACCATCAGCCACTTCTAGGGATTTTGGGGCCAAACAAAGCAACTCCTTCCCTAGCAGCTGCTAGGATGCAAAGGTGGTCCTTTATTATGTCAGCGTACCATTACACTCTTAAATACCGTAATGGCACTGAAACAGAAGTGACTGATGCCTTGTCTAGGCTACCTATCTGTTCGAGGTCCAGAGAAGAGGCAGCCGAATGTCTCTCGGTGTTTGAGTGCACTCCCCTGACAGCTCGAGATGTGGCAAAAGCCACGGCACGCGATGCCACACTTTGCAAAGTTCTAGAGTACACCAGATCTGGCTGGCCAGGAGACGTCGCAGACGAACTACAACCGTACCACGTCCGACGTCTCGAACTTTCCATTGAGCAGAGCTGTCTCACTTGGGGATCGCGGGTTATCGTACCAGAGAGCTTGAGACCACCAGTTCTGACGTTGCTTTATGAGGACCACCCCAGCACCAGCCGAATGAAGATGTTAGCTAGAAGCTTTATTTGGTGGCCTGGATTAGACAAAGCTGTCGAAGAGTACGTGAAGAATGCACAGTGTGTCAGGTCGTACAGCCGGCGGCGCAGGCTACGCCACTGTACCCTTGGCCATACCCTTCGAGGTGTTGGCAGAGGGTCCATATTGATTTCGCGGCAAAGGGTCCACATACCTTTCTTGCCTTAGTGGACGCGTATTCCAAATGGGTTGAAGTTTGGTTGATGAGCACTACCACTGCAACTCAAACAATCACCAAACTTCGCAGTGCCTTCGCTGCCTTCGGTTTCCCCGAAGAAATTGAGAGTGATAACGGGCCACAGTTTGTATCTCAGGATCTGGAACGTTTCTTGAAAAAAAATAACATTACTCTTACAAAGACGCCGCCCTACTACCCAATTTCAAATGGGGCTGCCGAACGTCTTGTGCAGACAACACAGCGGGCACTGTTAAAGCAAGTGCTGTCTCACGCTGAGTCGGAGAAAAAAGAATCAGTGCAAGAAGGGCTAGACAGCTTCTTGGTGAGCTATAGAAACACCCGTTATTCCGTGACTGGAAAGACTCCAGCTGAACACTTCTTGAAACGACAACAAGAGTGAAGTTGTTTTTCCTCAAGCCCGACTTTGTAAAAGACATAACTGAAAAACAGCTGAGCATGAAACAGGAATGCGACAAGCACAGGGGCGCAGACCGTGCATTTGATCTGGGGGAAAGGGTGTGGGTAAAATGTGTGCGAGGTGAGAACGTTCCCTGGGAGGACGGTGAAGTGACACAAATTGTGAGTCCGGTGACATATATTGTGCGTGTGGCCGGTGAAACGCGATTTGTGCACGCTGACCAGTTGCACCGTTCTTCGACACGATCAGATGAATCTTCATCCTTGCTTCCGCGACACGGTCAATCGGACCCGTCTCAACAGAATGAGCAGCCACCTGTGATGACAAGAACACATGACCTAGACAACGAACCGATGTCCGATATCGCGACATGTGCAACACCTTCGAGGACTGATTCGGTGACGTCTTCGCCTGATGCGACGCCGCCTGCAGGCTCGTCACCGTCAACTGAAAGTCAATACCAGCCGGACGTTGAGTTACGACGAAGTGCGCGTGTGCGTCATCCACCCGACTGGTTCAAACATTCAGATTTTAGAAAGTGATCAGCAGGTCGCGCATTAAGGGGGGAGGATTGTTGTAGCGCGAGAGCCAAGCGATGAGCTAGTAGCGCAAGTGGCTTTGACACTCAAGCTCGTGACATGGGCCGCGTTCCTCTCGCGCATGAGACATTACCTTTTTTGTAAGCTCTCAGAACGAGTTGAACGCCATAAAGGTTCCTCTGGTTTGAATCGTCGTGCTTCGTCGTGGTTATTACACCTTCGACTTGCCATCCTTCGATGCTTTGTCGCTGCCCCGAGAGGCTTTTCAGTAGAAGGTGACTTACCGGTCCGTGCCCCGGCGATGCTGTAGAACACGCGCTGTCCTTCAATGCCCCTGGAATTGAGAAGAATTGCTTTCCGACGATTCGGCTACATTTCGTCGCCACCGGCAGCTTCCAGAAACTTCAGGAACACCCGCTTCCACTGCTCCCATGGAATTCCAGGCTGTCCCGGCGTATGCAGGAACGGGGGCGGCGATGCAGCAGAGAAGAACGCCATGGCTGACGTTAGTATGGCCGTAATGGGCCCAGCATCTCGTCGCCAAAACTGTGGTGTCTTCAGGGACACGGCAGAGAAGAGGGACCAGACCAGTCCAGTCAACGTTCCAAGTCAGACTGTCCATTCATCAACAAAGACAACGATCATGTATAGGTCGTATGGTGGTGATGATGATTTGTACATATGTTGGTAAGACAACCCAGCCACACAAATTTGTCTTATACAATCTCTTTCGTTGGCCTCCTGTGCGTCAGACTTTATTGCCCTAAAACGGTGTCGTCGTCACGTGTCGCAAAGAGACGTAAAACCCTCAGAGCTATTCACTGACTCCGGTGGCTTCGTAGCGTCCTTTGCGGTCCATCGAAAGCGGAAACTGTGTATAGATAGCGAGACCGGAAACACGTGGTTCCCACATTGTTTAAAAGCGATTTCTATCAAAATCTTGCGTTATGTGTGAAAACTCACAATCCGTTAGGTAACCTACACAATACAAGCGCCTTAGTGACACATCGCATAAACATAGGGGCAATTAAGAAAAAAATATATTGTTCTCAAAAGTCCCGGTAAGCTGTTTGAGGAAGGGAAGCACCGGAACCGGTTTGAAATTTTATGTGAAGATTCCTGTATCAGATCCCGTTGACGTGTGGCAGGAAATATGTAGGTCATAGAGAAAGATGTGTTAATAGAAATTACGCGAACATAACCAGAACGTGAGCAGCCACAGGGAAATCTGTGACAATGCAATCTGTCATTGCATTGTCATGAGTGCAAATGCAAACATATGTTCACTACATGCACGATTATCAGCGTGCATAAAACTAAAACGGTAAGTGAAATTATTGAAACGGACTAAACCGAAAGTTACGACGAGAAATGCGTCAGCATGGCTTCAATTGATATGGCAGATAAAGAGAACTACTTGCGATCAGCAGCGGGTTACGCGATTAGTTCAGTGGCGTGATGGCGCAGAGCATATATTCGCGCGGAGTTCCGAAGATTATATACAGTTGATTTTAGCACATTGTGGTGTCTGTTCTTCCCTCTTTTCGCTATAAGCGCAACCATATTTTCAACAACAAAAAAAATATACTGCGCTCATTTTTATAACCTTGTTTTTACTGGTGTCACGTGGGGCAAGTAGTTTTACGAGGTTGAACGAAGTAAACGTTCTATAAAGTAAAATTGTTTTGTGGATTTCTAATGTGCAGCAGTGGTTCAAAAAGTGACGAATTATTTTTGACAAAAACATGGAAGGCAACTACTGCTTCAAAAAAAAAAAAAAAAAGACACATCCAGAACAGCGAGAAAGTAACGCGATTCTTTTGAATCTGTACCGAGTCTCGCATACCGGTCACCATGCTTTCCGGAACACGCGAGCGGTGTCTTATCTCATGGTATTACAATCCTAATGGCAGCTGTAGAAGTACTCTGTAATGTTTAGCTCAATGGAACACTTCAAGGAAGCGAGGCCGTTCGCTCAAGGTCAAGATCGCGGCTTTACCGTGACCAGAGCTAGCAGTTTTTTTTCGACCGGCCGTTCTCTGCTTATCGCCTCCTTTTTGCACGAAGAAGCATATGTGCCGGTCGAAACTATTATTAATTGAATTATCCAGTAAGTATTTAAAGTTTCTACTATGATCGAGCAATATATAAACTGACGACTAAGTAGTCACCGTATACACTGTAAGTGAGGGGGTGGGTTAAAGCGTAGATTGCCACACATGCAAAATTTGTGTATTTTCTGCGGTTCAGTGGCGATTTCAACCTTTATCCAGGGCCTCTAAACCCGTCAAGCACAAGGGGCCAAATTTGAGGGTGCGCACCGATTGGCCTATCATGACGGTGACTTCGCACGTTTTTCGCCGACGTCCAATCGAGGCACACCGCGAACTTTCAGCTCCAACATTATGTTTGACGAGTTTAGGGCCCCATTGGTTCCAACTTCCCGGGTTGTTTCACTGAGCGCTACGTCATAGCACTGCTCTTCGACTGCCGCCTGAATAGTGCTCTTATGAGATGGGACGCCGTTCTCGTGTTCCCGACTAGTTTGGTTAGCACAGTTCTCAGTTACTTTTTGGGTGAGTAACGAGTAAGGGAATCTAGTGAATATTGCTCAAGAACGTGTACGTGTCTACTTCTGGGGAATACTGTACTCTGTTGAGAGAAAGTTAAATAAAGCGACAGGCGAGGCTGACGTGTTGACAAGGGAATTGGCTGGAAGGCCATGTACACATCGCGACACTGTTAGCGCGAACACGACATTGGCGCATTTTCGCATTTTACTTCTAAATAGTATTAGCGAGCGTGAAATTTTATCGGTTACATTATAGAAATAAATTAGCTCTTTCTGTAGCAATAATAACTTAGATGACATTCCTTCGTTTCAAAGAGAAAAACTGGAAATACCGGCGATCGCTAGTTCGCGCTAACAGTGTCGCGCTCTGTACCTTCTACCCACGGAGCCGGTCAAATCTTGTACAAATATTAGTTGGGGATACTTACCCGCTGGTTCAGAAACCCGAAGCGATTAGACGCGTCTCCTCAACTACAGTACAAAAAGCTAGCGCTGTGTTTAAGAGAGGGAACCGCTGCAGCCAGCATTGTCCCAAAGCTAGATCCCGTTGCTACAACAAGATTGACGTAAGCGATGCTAGTTAATGCCCTTCGTATTTTCGCTTTTTTTCACAAGTTCAACATGTTGAAGATTTATTTTTTACTTACATATTTATACTACACATTTTAATTTGTGACATTATGTAAATGTATTTTAGGAATACAAAACCTTTGATCCAAAAACATGCACCATGTTATGCGAAAATGGACAATGGCGGAAGTTTCCAGAAGGGGTTTGCTCGAGCGGTAACGTGGTAAGTCACCAGAAAAGCTTTCCGCTGCTTGGGAGCTTCTTTTTCTCCCAGGCGCGACACCCCGGCTATTTTATATAAAAATAAAGTTGTTGATAATTCACTTTTACTTTTCTGAAGACAGCATGGCAGATCAGTATCAGACGTTGTTTGGCATTGTCATGTGTTTGGCCCTAACAGATGTAAAACTGGTTGGTTCTCTTATAATTCTGTGCAGAGTCTACACGCGAACTATGATTTTAATATCTGACAGACCATATTTATTTCCATCGGACTCACTTGTTAAGATACTCTCCATCATCTTTTTTTTTTCTTTTGTGCATGCAGATGAACCCATATTTGCCTATATAACAGTAAATAGTCGGTGGAGAGATAGTATAAAAATTATTCAAATGTGTAGCTACTTTTCAACTTCCATGCCAGCTGTTTCACGAGAACAAAAACACCTCTTATATTTCACCTATATCTATATGATCACGGTGGCTACAATATGCACTTCAGCTAGCAGAATGAATCACCACCAACGTACCCCGAACCTAATATTTCGGTCACAATTCCTTAATCCTCTGAGTGTTTAGAATCGTTCTATGACCATCTTGTCAAGGACTGGTAGGCAAAGATTGAATGACAATTACCACGTGTAATACCGTCTGTTCTTAAGCCTATTGATAAGGCAAATTTCTTCTCAAAGGTCAGCCATGTCTTGCCAAGTGGTTTGCTAGAATGGTACTGTATCTCTCGACCAGGGGCCGGGAGCTAGTCCGTAAGACGCGACCATGTAATGTTTGTATCAAGGATAAAGCAGCACTGCAGTATTTTATCTTGCACGAGCCAAGGTCATCTATAAGCGTGAGTAAACATCCGATTAGGCGCGGTACTAGCGCGTTTAGAAAAAAAAATAAAGGAAAAAAATTGTGTGTTCTGTCTTTTAAAAATGGTAAGAATTATTCTCTTCTAGTTTGTGTTTTTCTGTAAGTTCAGCTGGTTTCCACAATCTAAGTATGTACAACCAACTAGCTCAGCTCCTTCCCATTGCAAGTTTTGTGTCCTTGTTAACTCTCACAAATTTATAACCACCAATGTATATTTGCCAGATTACTCTCCACGAGCAACACGAGGAAGCGTATTGTTGCACAACCGAAACGCGACTGTAAAGAATATGATAAGCTTGATAAAGGCGCTGCCCAGACTCGAGAGCTACATACATAATATAACAAAAATATTTTTTGTTTTTATATCAGTACAAAAGGTAATTGCCGTTTTATCAAAATTAGGAGCAAGATTAAGAAAAAGAAGGTTACCAGTAGTACCCACATTTGCTACAGTAGCATGCAAAGTTGTTGTGCAATATTATTTGCAAAATATCAGAAATAAATGAACATATAAGGAGAGAACAGGAACAGCATATATGTAGTAATATATGCTGTCAGAGTGCTCTCTCGTTATTTATGTTTAGTTATTTTTGAAGCTCTTCCGCTATCCGAACGCGCTCAACTCCAAAACAACGGTTGTATGGGTTGGAACCTTTCCCCCTTTACGCAAGCTTGATGGCCCATGTTCTACCTTAGCTACACTAGCATGCAACGGCACTGACAAACAAGGGTCTTTGTCGCGGTGTAATAGACCCTCTTTGAAAGTCACGTGCCGGTTGTTAGAAAGTCGGAACCGCTCAGCAATGGCGGAGCAACCGACAGCACTGAACGCGCAAACCCAAAACTGGAATAAACACAAGCACAAACACAGACTAAAACCACAAGCTCACGGTGCATACCTGCGCTTGATTGGTTTAGCCGATGCTAATGTGACAACGAGCGCCGTGACGTTGCGCTTTTGGCACTGGGTGTTTGTGTTATGCGAAATACGCAACAAAAGTATTTAAGATAAAATACTAGATACCAATTTAAAATGTAATTAGAGTAGCATTCATGTTGTCTTTACCGCGGACCATCTCGGGTAGAGTACAAATACTGTGAAAGCAGTATGCGAATTACTTTCGAAGGTATGTTCCAAGCACGTTGCATGTTGGTTATAAAAGAATAGAAAGTAAAACCGGGATACTCTACTTGTGAAGACTTCGCTGAAAATCGCAATCTGCAATGAGCTCCATGACTTTCAAAATGAGCCTCAGCTGCTGGAAAAGGTTTCTATGAAATAATTTGGGATACGCAACCTAATGGATGCAAAAGATTCCAGGTACAATAGGGGCTGAAGTATTGTAGACATATCGACTGCGGTTCTTTAGTTTGGCGGCAGGCTCGGCTCATGACGCACTCCGTCACAAGTTCTCAATATGCCTTGCCGCCATCAGGGAAACCTCAAATGTAGTTCTTTAGTTTGGCAGCAGGTTCGGCTCATGACGCACTCCGCTGTAAGTTCTTGATATGCCTTACGGCCATCAGGGAAACCTCAGATGTAGTTAGGTGTTGCATATCCCTGACAGCCGAAGTATAAATAGTTCAGGCAACCACACTTTTGGATGAGAACGCGAGTGAACGGCAAGCGCTTAAGAAAAACATCGACTCGAGGACGGCAGCATCGGTCGCTGGTCAACAACCAAGGGCTAGTACTTTGTGCTCCCAGTCAAAGGCGAGGAACAACACCTCTACCTTGAAACTGGCAAACAAATTTTAAAAAAAAAGTCGAGAAGAAAACACAGCTAACGCGAAAAAATGTACACGAAACCGCACCGAAACTGCATTCATTCATCAAGGTCAGGATTAAATAATCAAGTTAAAGAAAGGCTCTCAAACGAGCTTGGGAGCACAGGTTAAACCACAAGGATTGCACGGGGGGCTTTGGGGAAGCCTAATCTAGGTCACTGGAGCTTAATAAAGACAGCAGGATCCAACTTCCTTGTCCAAGGGAGTGTGTGCGCTCGCTTGAAAACCAGCTCACACATTTTTATACTAGAATTTCTTGAACTGGCGATTTTTGACAATGGTTCATAAGGGAGCTTTCGAAGACCGTTTTCTTACCTCCTTGAAGCTCCCCGGGACGAAGACGCCCTTTGCAAAAATAGCTCTCTGGCCGCCGCCCTTTTGCGACTCGTGCGACCCCTATCAGTCAGAAATGTCTGTCAACCACCTGAGCTCCGGAAACCCGGTCAGCAAACTTCTTCCCACCTGCATTTTGTATTCGGAGCTCGCCGGCTTTTCTTCAAAGTCTTTACATCATTTGCCTGTTCAGGATGCTTACCCTTTTTCTGTTATCGTTTATTGTTAGAACTAGGGAATACTGCAGGGCTCTTAGCCTGCTCGGCCTTCGCAGAAAACGAACGAAGAGAGCGAACAATCAGCGGGCGCGACGTTCTTCGAGAATTATTTCCGTTGAGATAAGCTCCGAAAAGCCTGCCCGGCTATATTCCTTACCTTCACGAAAAATATGTGATAGCTCGGGTCCGGGGTATGGGGACGGAATAGACATTTTTGTTCATTTGTTTTGGTACTGTGCAAATAAAGCAGCAAAGCAGCTCTCTTCAAAACGTGCTCCAAAACAAGCCGGATTCCGTCAGATCGGCATGAAGTACTATCATCGACACTGTATATTGGATATTTTGTGTTTTTTTAGACCTTTCTCAAATCCTGTTCGGATCGCGAGGAACCGTGGGATACTACGTATCAATCGGTTCTTTGGTTGGTGAGATGGTTGAATTTGATATTGTGAGAGTGAGATTGTGACCCATGCAGTTCCACTATCTTGTGTCTTCAGATGTTTTCGACTACTAAGACCTTTGTAGATTGAAATGGCTGTGCATATGGTGCTGTACAAAAATCAACACAAAACAAAACAAACATTCCAGTTGAACTTGCTCTGTCGCGTACGAGCTCACCAAAAATAACTTTTATTTGATTTTGTTTTTCCTAAAAATAGTCAAATGCTTTTTTAAGAACCTAGAGAAATTATATTCGCCGTAGAACACAAGAAATAAAAGAAAACGCGGCAATTTAGCTGCCCCCAGCGACCGGGATTGGGCCTACTCAGGCAGCCAAATTCCACTGACGAGATAACCCCCAGCCCAGCGCAACCGGACCACAGTGACGTACACTCTCAAAACCAGAGAAGCTCGCTAAAAATCACTTCGTTCGAGACTGCCGCTGGAAAGGTCTATACCCAGTTCACCCTTAAACGGAGACTGCAGTGGGGCCTACACGCCCGCCGGTCCAATCAGTCGCCTCCCTCTTATAGGGGAGTTTTCGTAGGCCGCGTTTACCCCTCCGCTAAGCCCTTCGCAACGAAGAAGCCGCGCCTGTGCGCCGATGGCCTTGACTGTGGAGTTCAGGGTATCGTAGTGGATTGCGGAGAGCGCTGCGGGATGGCGAAAATTATCTACGAAAACTCCCTATCATCTGACTCGGTTCTCTGCGTGTTCGTACGTGCGAGAGCGTGATGATGTGGCGAAAGAGAGGCCTATGACTAGTCCAACGAGGACGTAGCTTCCACCGCAGTCTCAGCTTATGGGTGAAGGAAGTATAGCCTGCAAAGTCCCAGATCTCGTAGCGGGTTGCGGAGAACATTGTGGGACAGCGGAAGCGATATACGAAAACTCCCTATATGATCGTACTGAGCGTTGGCTTCCCAATCGTCTGCTGAAGGAGTTGCAGACAAAAGGTGGGGTCTTGGTGTAAAATCCCGGCGACGTCCGTAGCACTTTTCTAGCTCTAAGCCTGACGTTCCATTATAAAACAACTTAAAAAAAAAAGGTCGAGAGGAGACAATACTTCGTGTCACTAGTTGCGTGTAGTACCGGCGAAGGCAACGCCAGGCGAGGGGAGAAAGAGCAAGCACTAGAAAGGCTGGTGCAGAAGCGAGAAACTATACCCTCCTCTCTAACGTTCCGAGTGCACTCCATTTCTCCCCTCACCCTCCAGTTCCCTACTCTCGTTCCGCCTTCATAGTGCTCGCCCTTCCTCTTTTCGCCTGGCATTGCCTTCGCCTGCACTGCATTTAACAAGTGACACTGAGTATACATGGGTTGCACGTGACGTCAATCAAAAAGCGCTCCA